AGCACTCTTGTGCTGTTGAGATTAGCCAAGAGCAAAGCAAGAACAACTTAATGGATTTGGTTTTCACTGTGAGCAGCTGAAATTTTTCTCGTTTGTTGTGAATCTTTGGGGCGATGGCGGTGATGGTGGCAGGAGTTCGTCCTGTAGCAGGACGGTTGGTAGTTCAAGCTCTGGTCTTTGTTGTGTCCTTGGGTAAAACGCTTCACCGAAGCACCTGCTAGTGGTCAGAAGGGCTGATGGCGCTGGCGCCTCTGTCAGACTGCCTCCGGGCAGCACTGGCTACTATCCAGCATCTATCAGCATGGTAATGTATGCATGAATGGGAATGACTGATTTCATTGTAAATCTTCTTAGTTTCCCAAAAAGCAGCTATGCATGTCTAATTTCATTTCATTTTTAAAGCCAAACTATCAATCTGACATCACTGAGTTTTCATTGACCATACAATTGCGCAATTTGACATTTAAAAAATAAAATTGCTTAACGGACACACAAAAAAATTCTTTAAAAAATTCTCGTTTTTCGATTAAAAAATGTTGCCCCTTTGATAAGGCTGTATCAGAATTGGATTATTTCACAAAACTGCAATGGAAACTTTTTCCTCATCACACAAGTCACATAATCAACAACTGGTTGATGCCGCTGGTGCAAACAACGAAGACGACGACAGGAAGTAGTTGGAGGATGATGGTGCAATATGATTTTTAATGACTTGTCGCGTGAACAAATGTGTTTGTTTGATTTTAATTGGATTTCTTATTTAATGGAAATACCGCAATTACAAACTTTTGTTTTTTCAACATTAGCGGAAAACAGGCATTTATTAAGGAAATTCAGCTGAGAAGAGAAACTCCGCTGTCATTAGCCGAGTTGTCAGCTAAACTGACGACACTTTTAAGATTCTATAATAAAAGATTTTTATCATGCTCCTTTTTATTAGACAAACTTCTCTTCCTCTTTTTGGCTAAAAATTCACAAAGTGAAGATACAGAAAGGGAGGAATTTGAATATGCCGGATTAACATGAATCTTTGGGGTAAATTACCTAAAATGATTTGAGACTTTAGGAAAGTTCAGTTTCCAGTTTGATAGAAACCTAATGACTGACTGTCTGTTTCAACAGGCAGACATAAAGGTGACTGAAAAGACTCCCAATCTTCAGATGATGTTGCTAAAACTAAATGAATTTAAGTTATATGGTGAGTTGCATCACCATATAATAAAGTTTGTCCTTGTTTTGCCATCCTTCCTCGGTTAAGCACAGTGGAGAATAAACACCCAACGCAGCAACCTGGAGCTGACTGGTGGTTACCATGGCAACAGCAGAGCATCCTCTCCTGGTTTCTCCCACTGCTGGCTGCACTAATTGTCCTGCGTCATAATGTCCACACAGAGACGCCCTCTGGGCCCGGCGTTGTGCTCCAAATGGTGAAACTAGGGCTCTCCACAGGGGCTCATTACCGATGCGACACAGTTAGCACGATGTAACCACACAGATGACCTCCAGGAGTGACCTTGACAGCACCCTGCAGCTCAGAGTGGTTTCATCCGTTACTGCAGTTTCATGACCCAGAAAAAAAAAGTAATGGATGCAATCTGAAAAGCTCGAACAGAGCGGGCCTTCCACAAATAAACTCTGAACTTCAGCTGCCATTTTATTAAAAAATTATTTTTACTTGTAGGTTATTTTTTGGACACCTCTTTTGAATTTTGAAAGGATCTTTCCGTTACTTGATAGCAACTTTTGATGACTGTACCTGTGCAACAGGACTACAGTTCCCATAATGCTTTTCGGCACAGAATGTCTGGACTCTGCATGTTCCAGGGCTTCCAGAAAAACATGTTGTGATCTACAGTATCTGGGTTTCGGTGGGATCATGGTATGGGCTTGTCTCGTGGTAAAGCTCATTTCCTTTTTATCTACACTACTGCGTTATATGGGTTTGACAGTGGGGTTACTAAACTTCATAGCTTCTTATTCATACTGCCAGCACTGTGCCAGAAAAGAGCAGGACCTCTGGCCAGGTCTCAGGGAAAGTTGTTCCTCTTTGCATCTTCACCGTTTTCTGGTCCCGTCAACTCTCTGCTGGTTACATCTGGATGCTTCTGCTACTTTGGCTCCATTGGACACCTTTAGACAGATCTCTGTTCCAACTAAACCCCCAATCCAGCGATCTCCTGGTCATAATACACACAGAGTTTCTGCATGTGGGCCTCATTCCTGCCTCTGAGTTGGTCCGAAGACTCCATGACCTTCTACAAGCTCCTGGCGTGGCTGTATGAACCCTCAGCAACCCTCAAAGTAGCATCTGCTTCCCAGCATATTCCTTCTGTTGCATAGGTTTCAAAGGCATTTGGAGTTATCTGCTTAGACTGGGAATTCTCAAAAAACACCAACAAACTTGGATGTAGGCACAAAGTGGGAAAGTCCACCTTTGCAGAGGAATGGGAAAGAACAATCGGTACCAGCTCTGATGGACTCGCTTCTGTTAGTCTGCTGCTATGTAGCTTCTGTGTGTTAATGGGTGAATGACTGGATGTAGTGTAAAGTCCTTTGGAGTTCTCCGGACTGGATAAAGAACTATAAAAGAGCATGCCATTCCTACTTAACATACAAAGTACTCCAACGTCACTTCTTCAGACTGTCTACTAGAGAACGGCCGTCCACAATGAGCCTGGTTCTGCTTCTCCTGTTAAAGAGGAGTTTCTCCTCTCAGTAGATGCTTGTCCATGAATGCCTTAAATAATAAATTGAACATGACTGCGTTATGTGAATTACAGCATCAGTCGGACTGGGCGTGTGACCAGATTGAACTGACTTTTCATTTTAAAATGCCTTGAGATGATATGTTGTGAATTTACACTATAGAAATAAAGTAACTTGAATCAAACTGTAAATTAACAGTTACATATTTGTGGGATTTTGTTCTACAGTTAGGTGCAAATATTGACAACTTTAAAAAAATTATATTTGTTGATCAATATGTATCTTTACTCACGCAATGTTTGGTGCGACCAACAGATTGAAACATTCCTTACTTTTTTCTTTTTGTTTTGTTTATATCTGATAAGAAGAGCCTGGCATCAACAAACATCCTGCTTTGATCTAGTTGTATTTGTTTCAAACATCCACAATGCTTTCATTTTACAGTGTGTATTTTGTCAACAGCGACATATGGACGTTTGTAATCCATTTTTTATACTTTAGCATCCAGCGAAGCTTTTGCTGCTTAGCGTCTCGGTTTGGTTGCTCAGCGCTTTGTCTCCGTGGGGAGTTGGACCTCCAGCAGAATCAGAATATAAAGCTGCGGCATCAGAGGTTTTTACAGTAAGAGATATTTTCACTTTCCAGCAGCTGAAATCCTGTAGGATCCAATCTGTGGTTTCAGCTTCGATCTGCTGGGTATTAATGATGCTGATGAGCTTTTCCAAACAGTCAAAGGATCTTATTGTAGTGAAATATTCTCCACCTGCTCCTCAAACTATTGTGTGCATTTAGTATTAATGTGGATTCCTTTAAACTTTAAATATAGTAAATATTTCACGTTATTAACTTGTTTCTTCTATAAACTTCACATTGTTTAGTAAGTATTGATGCTCAGCTCTGCATAAGAGTTTCCAGATATAAGATTCGTCTATAAAATCTGAGCTTCTCATTTCCTCTCATGATTGTAGATCTTACATGATGATCTCTCTGCTTTGCTCCGTTTTCTGATCAGTTTCTGTGTTTGACACAAAACCAACAGGGCTGAAGGTAAAGATTCAGGCTTCTCAGTTTTAGTGACAAGTTTGAACCGATGGTAGACAGTCGTCAGATAAACAACAAATAATTACATTTTTCCATGATATCAGTTTATTTAATAACTCAGTTGTGGTTTCTATCTGACTCTCTCTTTGTTTGGTGTTCAGGGATTATGGTTCATGTTTGCTTTCCTGTGTTGCTTCTGTTTAAAAAGGTTTGCAGACATTTGTTTCTCCACCGCCCCATGAAGGTCCAACCACAGCATTTCTTTAAGATTGAAGTCTGATCTTTATCTTAAACACAATGAATCTTTTCTTTTTTCAGCCATTCTGCTGTAGATCTGGTGCTGTGCTCGGGATCGTCACTCTGTTGATCACCCAGTTTGGGACAAGCTTCAGCTGTTGGACTGATACACAAACACTGGACTCTACAAGACTTTGGTTTATAGTTTAAATCGAGGGCAGCGGGGCATCCTGGAGCTTTGGCTGCAAACAGTGTTCACAGGCTGAGGAGGACTCAGTCCTTTGAATTAAATGAGTTGGAGAGGTGTCCAAGAATCGATGGACACCAACCCTTGAGGCCGTTGAGGGACATTGCTCTGCATGTTTGAGATGTCTTTCTCTGCTTCACACACCTGATTTAAATAAATGGTTCATTGCAGAAGTTAGAGAGGGAATGGCCCTTAAGGATGAGCTCTGTTCTGCATCTTCTGTCATTTATGGGTCGTATTGTCTGTTGATTGACTGTCGGTCCAAATTTTGTGTTTTTAACTTCAGCATAGTTCATGTTGCTATGTGCTTTAACATGCGACATATTTTCAGCCTTGCACAGATTTTCTGTGCCACACTGGTATCTTCCAGTTTTGGACTATAAAGCTTTGGTTTTGCCTTTAACCCTTCTGGTCTTAGCGCGACGCTCAGGCAAAGTGCGACAGATGCACAATCAGACAACGAGGAAGTGATGGGTGTGTCCTGTCAGCGCATCAGTTCCCAACTTTGAAAAAACGTACGTGGGGTCAGTGCAACCCTGCCAGGACTGCGCACAGAGTAAAAAAAATTCACACAGAGTCCACTGCACCCACTCTTGGGACTGCAGGAGGGTTTAAAAATGATGTGAAATTCAAAACTTAGCATGAAAGTCAACTAAAAACAAAAGTATATTGATTTGTTCATAGTATTCATGAGACAGAAAGAAACTAATGTTTCTGTCTTTGTTTTCAGGCATCAAGGCTGTAACAGGCGGGATTAAGTAAAAAGAAGATGCAGAACGTCTCTTCACAGCAGCACTTTATCCTGAATGGTTTTGCAGAACTGGGCGACCTGAGGCCGGTCCTCTTCGTCCCGTTCCTCCTCATGTTCATCGTGGCTCTGCTGGCCAACTCTCTGCTGGTTTATGTCGTCGTTTCTCAAAGGAGCCTTCATCAGCCTATGAGCATCCTCATCGCCGGCATGGCTTGTGTTGATCTCTGCCTCCCAGTGTTCTTTGTTCCCAAAATGTTGCTCAGCTTCCTGTTTGACTGGAAGGGGATCTCTCTGATTGGCTGCCTGGTTCAGATGCACTTCATTCACTTCTTTGGAGCGTTTCAGTCCACCATCCTGTTGTGGATGGCTCTGGATCGATACTTTGCTATTTGTACGCCACTTCACTACCATGAACTGATGGCGCTGCAGAGATTCCTGAAGTTTATCGTCCCACTGGTTGTCAGAAACATGCTCCTCATCTCTCTGTTTGTGAGTTTGGCAGGAAAGCTGTCGTTCTGCAGGAATGTGATGAACCACTGTTTCTGTGAGCACATGGCCTTGGTGGAGCTGGCCTGTGGCTCCACCGCCATCAACAACCATGTAGGTCTGCTTACCGTCTTCCTCATCCCTGTGTTTGACTTCTTGTTTATCGCTGCATCTTACATTCTGATAATCAGCACCATGTTGAGGTCCAGCAGCACCAGCGTCAAAGCATTACACACCTGCATCACTCATGCAATGGTGATCACGGTTAGCTTAGCCGTGGCTCTCATTGCTTTACTTTCATATCGGATAAAGAATGAACTTCCTGCAGCTGTCCGAGTTTTCTTCAGCACCATGTACCTGTTGTTCCCGAGCTGCTTCAACCCGATCATCTATGGCATCAGAACCACTGAGATCAGGCAGCACATGCTAACGACGCTGACGCACTGGAAACGATTGGTCCAAACTGAACCTTCGTGTTCCTAAATACTCAAATAAGGATGCTGCTGTTGAATTTACAGTAAAACATGTTGATGGGAGACTGAAGGCATAAATATTTCAAACACTAACATCACTGCAGATCATTATTCTCTGGTTCAAGATGGGATTAGTGGTTAGCATTATGTGGTTATATATTAAACCATGTGGTTTAATTCAATTAAAAAATACTTTATCGATCCCAAAGAGATGCTAAATGTTGTAACTGATGGCTGTGAGCAGAAAGGGCCTCCTGTAGCAGTCTGTATTTCAGCAGCTCTGAATAAGCTTCCAAGAGACACTCTGTTGTATCACAGTCTGATGAAGACGATAATCAGGGTAGTGCATAACCTTCTTTGTTCTATGTGAAGAGTATTTATTTTCTTCCTTACTTTGTAACTTATTCCAGTCCTAGTTCAGCTCCTCTGTGTCTATTATTCACATTTCACCCAAAAATAATCAAATAATCAATCATGTTGGGTAAAATATTTCAGACGGTCATGCCAAGGTCACCATCTGTCAAGTTCAACCCTGTAGCGATCCCAGGAATGGGCGAGCAAACTTCCTATGAGCTGCCCCCAAGTGACTCAGGAAAGGAAATGTGCCCCACCTTTTCTTTAAAACGTCGGAGTAACTGAACATATAAAAGGTCCGAGTCAGTGGGAGTCTGGTTTCAGAGCCAGGTAAAGAAGGTATGAGCAGACGTTCAGTAACAGGTGAAACTATCAAAGCTGAACTGCCAGCAGATTATCATTTAAATTCAAATCATTTCTGTTGTTCTAACTTTGGTCTCACTCTATTTATTCTCCTTCAATCTTTCAGGGATTTGAGCCTAACACAGGAACATTTAATGATCTTTTTCAGTGTTTTAACATGTGTTTTCAGATCAAAACCACTCTTTTTAAGGTTTGTCTGATGAGAAAATTCCTCTTGGTTGTTTCAACATGCATGTTTAAAATGTTGCCAATATGTTTTCTTTCAAAATCACAATCTGAACTGATGTAGTTCAGGGGTCAGCAGGGAACCAGAACTTTATTCCTTTAAACATACATTGCTGATGTGCAAAATTAGTATTTGTGGTATTTTCGATTTTAACAATTTACAATACAATTATGTTGGTAAGTGTAATTTGTTTGCAACTTGTTCAGCTTTTAGCTGCTTTTCTTCTCTAGTTGGATGTCATATTAAAGCAGATGAAGGTGTTTTCCTGCCATCTTAAACTCTGAATGTTTTCAAAAGATAAAACTTCCAATGAGAAAATTATTGTGATTACATTCCAAATCTTCAGGATCACTCTTCACTCTCCTCTGTTTTTGTTCCAGTACAAAAAGAAGAAATGTGAGAAACTGTCGGTGTAGAAAGTTTATGTAACAAATACTTATTTTTACTAAGTATTTTAATGACAATATGAGTTTATGTAGGTGCAAAGACACTTATTTAACAAGTTAAATAAAATACATGTTGTAAATACAGGTAAAAACTTAAACTCAAAACCTAGCCTAAAATACTTCAGATAAAAATCAAACATTATCTAGAGAAAACCTTCTACAAAGCAAGTGATTTGTTTTGCTCCATCAGTGATAAAATAACACAAAACATGTTTATGACTTCTAAAAAATGGTCAAATTAATTTTTCATGAAACCAAAGTATTTTAAATGCATGTAATATCTCTTTTTTTCTATGGGATATGGAGAGTTTAACAGTTGGCTTGGATTTAGGTTTTCTTTTATTTGATGTGTTGTTTATGCTGAGGGGTTTTCTACAGTTCATTGCATTTATTTGATTCAGGTGTGCTGGTTGCATCTAAATGTTGCAGAGCAGTAGTTTTCAAGGATGCTAATGACAGGACAACAGGCCATGAAGGCCACAAATCTGTCAGTTCATAGTTTCCAACTACAACTTAAAAACCAAAACTTTTGGATGAGGCAACATGTCTTCAACATCAGAAGTAATTCAACTGCTTTCATTTATGTATGGTTGGTTGGTTGGAAATCAATATTGACCTGATTTTCTTTTTTCTACTTGTTTTTCAGGCTGACCCTGAAGCTGTGGACCAGGACGGTTTGGTAGAAGACGATGATGGAACCACTGAAGGAAAACATTTCTTCACATGAATACTTCATCTTCAGTGGCTTCAGTGAACTTGGAGCTCTGAAATCCTTCATTTCTATCCCCTTCCTGATTCTGTTCTTTGTGTCTCTGTTTGCCAACTCCCTGCTGATCTATGTGGTCATTTCACAGAGGAGCCTCCTCTCCCCGATGTACATCCTCATCGCCTGCTTGTCATTTGTTGATATGTGCCTGCCACTGATTCTCATCCCCACCCTGTTGCTGAACGTCTTGTTCAACTCGAGCGGGATCTCTCTGAGCGGCTGCCTGGTTCAGATGTTTTTGATTCACATGTTAGGCGCTTGTCAGTCGGCTCTTCTGGTCTGGATGGAATTGGACCGATACTTTGCCATCTGCAGGCCCCTTTCCTACCATGATCGCATGTCTTTACCTGGATTCCTCAGGTTTATCATCCCTGTTCTCATCAGGGATGTGATCATGGTGTCAGCGGTTGTGATTCTAGCAGGTAAAGTGTTGTACTGCTTCAGGAATGTGATAAACCACTGTGTCTGTGAACACATGGCCTTGGTGGAGTTGGGCTGTGGCAGCACAGCCATTAACAGTCTGGTTGGGTTATTAGGAGTTTTTATGGTCACTGTAGTTGATTTCTTGTGCATCACTGCTTCATATATAATCATATTCCACTCTGTGCTGCGTTCAGGTAAATCCAGCGCTAAAGCTCTGCACACCTGCTTCACTCACATCATCGTCATGGTCATCAGTTTGACCTTCTTACTCACGGCTTACTTGGCGTATCGGATGAACAGTCTCCCAAACGCTGGCCGTCTCTTCGTCAGCATCATGTACATGTTCCTTCCCAGCTGTATAAACCCGATCATCTACGGAGTCAGAACCACTGAGATTCGACAAAGTATCCTCAAAGTGCTGTTTACTTATCAGTAGGCAAGAACTGTCAAACATTTTTTAAAAATAAAAAATACATTTTAGTAAAGAACTTTTTCAGTCATCCTACTAAATCTCAAAACGAGAGGATCCGGTTTGGTGGCCTTAGGATCGCATCTCTGCTTTTTGCAGATGATGCGATCTTATGGGCTTCACTGCAGCGGTTTGTAGCCAAGTGTGAAGCTGCTCAGGGTCAGTGCCTCCAAATCCAAGGTCATGGTCTTGAGCCAGAAAAGGGTAGAGTGCCTTCTCCGGGTCTGACACTTCGAAGAGCCTCTGACACAGGGGACGATGCAAGGAATTAATCCATGCTACAACTAGGCCTGTCACGATAACAAATTTTGCTGAGCGATTGTCTAAAAAAATTATTGCGATAAACGATAGTATTGTTTCAAGACCTTTT